CCTCCGCTTTTTGTGCGACAGCCGCGATAAATGCACGAATAGCCTCCTTTGCCCGTAGCCATTTGATTGAACAGTCAATTAACACTTAACCTGACTTAACACAAATAAAACCGAAAAATTTTATAAAATAACCAAGTTCAAAGGTAATAAAAACACTAACGCCGATTCTGCACAAATGCAAGCGTCACCAAAGCTTCTTGACATTAAAACATATTATAAAATGGCCGACCTCACGCATGCGCATAAAAATTTGGTTCATGAAAATCGTCCTTTTGTCGCTTCTTGTTGGTGGTGTATTCTGTGATTGTGTTCATAAGCTTTCTGCCATGTCCAATGTAATGTAATGGGAACACCACTGTCGTCAAATGTACAACTACTGGGGCTCCGCTGTCACCACTGTACAATTAGCGGGAGGTTATATCCCCTATTGTAGCATCTGGAACTAGAGGGTGAGAAAATCTTCACCACTGTACAACGCTGTTACTACTGTAATAATATTACATCCTTTAAGGTTCATTACCAGTATATTATACTGGTAATGAACCTTAAAATGCTTATCCCTGCGAGCGGCTGCAAGGAATACGGACCAGTATTACAGACCACTAGTCTGGAGGGCTGGCTCACCTTCGTGGATTTACGAGAAGGTAAGGAACTTCGGAATAGGGGTTAAGGACTTCTAGGTCTCAGGTCCTGTAAAGAGTTTGAGTCTATGGGCTTACTTTAGAAGTCGGATAAATGTATAAGCCGAAATTCGGTACTCTTCTGGTCTCTGTCTGAATCGGTCGGAAGGACCATAAAAACCAAATTTAGAGTCTACAAATGTATTGAATATACTATGTGGGTTACAATTAAGTTAACAAGCTGTCAGATATAATTAATAATAACTCGTTCGGCGCGAAGGGAGACGAGAAGAGATCTTAGCAAGAAAGTAAAGGGGTGACAATCTGTAATACTATAATTTACTCGTGTTAGTATATAGAATTTTGTTACCTTTCGCGTATTTAGGCTCTAGCTAATGATATGCCCTTCAGTTCCTCTGGAAATCGGATTTCTTTCAGTACCCGACACTTATACGGAACTATACCCCGTCGAAATATAACAATTGCGCGTAATCCGCACGTGGTGCCGACTCTCGCATTAACAACCTTGCCCGAAGACACCGACCTGCCTATTACTGATTGCGTACTGGACGCTATCGCGTCAGACCCGGAGCCGGCTATCACTGCCTGAGCGGGCAGTCACGGTGCCCAGCTATCACTGACTGCCTGGTTGACCAATTTTTTTAGTTTTTATGTCCCGCGAACATTCCTAGTTTATTTTGCTGATTCTGCTGTACTGTTCCACGTGTTGGAATGTAACATGCGATGGTGTGTCGCTTCGTTGTATTAATTTTCACGAAGGTCTTCAGATTTCGTAATTCTTAAACATTCGGGCTTGTGTCAAACTAGGTCAATTGTTATTATTTGTATAATTAAAAATGTATACGTTACTGTATTTAATATGGAATATATAATAATTAATTGAATGATTATTATTCTCCCTATGCTACTAGCCTTATTTTTTCTATTCTTTATTTTCTTGCTATGTTTACATTACACCAACTCGTCTTAACACTTCCTCATTTGAGACTCTCACAGTCCAAGGAATCTTCAAAATACGCCTATATAGCCACATTTTGAATGCCAAGATCTGGTTACCCATATTAAAAGAGGAAATAAAAAAAAACAGAAAGAAAATACTACTATTAGTAATTAGCAACATATCGGGGATACATCATTTAAAATAACATACATAAAAAATCAGAGTTTGGAATATAGTTACTGTCAGGATGAATGAGTCAGATAAAATTAAATTATGTATTAGAAAATTTCTTACGAAGTAGCAAAAACAAATTTTTTAAATTCATTAATGTTTTGTAAAAATACTATATCGTTCATTACTCTTATTATAGAGAAGGCGCCCCCCCAGGTCGAAAATTGCCTGTTTAATCAGTTCATTTGCAATGCACGTCAGACCAGCAATTAATTGCATATTTGACTGAATTATACCAAACGCGAAATAAAAAATACATGAATAGTTTTATCAAGATTTCGGAATTACTTGAAACAAACGTTCCATTCATTAGTAGGTCGGAGAGAAAAAGTGTTAATGTTAATATATGCCGTTTGGCCTTGAAGTAAAATAAACATGCAAATAAAAATTTAAATGCTGAATTCCAAACATGGATGCTGTTAATTATTTTTATTGCCTATCCATCTATTGGGTGTGTGAAAAGCTTGAAATTGCTGAAACATAGGATATATTTTTTTTATTTTATTTTAATGTATATTTACAATATACTCATAAACAGGTACATTGAGTTGAAATTTAGTTTAATTTTTTTTGCTTGTTGAAACAAACCATCTTTTGCTTGAAATATATTTTCGATAAAAGATTTCTTTCGGTAACATCTTAGGCACCTTAAATCATTTTTATTATTTTCGTTAATTTCAGCACAACAGTCTGTATGAAGATTGCACTCTGTCTGTATATTGCTTGCACGATATACATACGCAACCATTCGAACATTCAAACTTACAAACACCACAAAAAATTAGGCTGTCATTTGATATAAGATTCTTATTTAACGTTTCGTTAAATTCGTTTAAATCTTCAAATGTTCCTTTGACTTTTGGGTTAACTGAAGTTAACCCAAAAGTTTGGCACTTTAGCAGTGCTCCATAACTAAATCCATAAGTCCATATGGGCTTGAGGATGGACTTGTAGAGTAAAATTTTGTTAACCAAAGATAGTTTTGAATTACTTCCAATAACCCAATACATACTTCTCAATTTAAGTCCAAGCTGTTTTTGTTTGTTAGATATGTTTTTTCCAAGTTAGACGGCGATCCAAGTGCATGCCAAGATATTTAGCGTCCCCGGATTGAGGAATTAGACAATTATCAATATATACAGGGGGGCATGTTTCTCTACGGATCGTGAATGTAAAGACCCGTTTTCACGCTACGTCTTATTGTACGTTTTGTTGGATAGGACAAATCCTATACAATAAAACGTGGCGTGTAAACAGCAAAACGTACGTCTTGTCGAATCGAAATGAAATCCAAATACATTGTGTGTATACACTGGACAAAACGTACGTTTTGTCGTAAGTTTTATATGACCGACAAAATGTACAATAAGACGTAGCGTGAAAAACGGGCCTTAAGTGTGCTTTGCGGCAGTAGGTTTTAGTGCGTCCGTAGTCTTGGCATCTTGTATACTGTGGGATTTTTATTGCCACCTTTTGCACTATTTACTTCATCCAATAAATGTTAAAGATCTTCTATTTCATTATAATAGTCCTTTGGAAAGATAGAATCTGATAGACTAACTTTTATTTTCGACCCAAACATTGCTTCGTAGGCTGTTTGATTCCTGCATGAAAGGCCCTGTTTTTCATTAATTGAATAAATTTAAGGCCTTCAGACCATTTAGATGTATTATTTGTTTGCAGCCACATATTTTTCAGCTCATTTATTACTGTGTTAATGAACTTACGGCCATTATCCGATTGCAGTAATGAATGTGCTCCAAAAATGCAGAAAATTTCTATCAAATGTGTAGCTGCTTCATCTGCCTTCATTGAAGTTAAAGATCTTAATTGCACGAATTTTGTAAGGTGATCCTGATATACCTAGAAACGAAATGGTCCCTCAGCTTCGAATTGTATGTCGATCAAATCAACTTGACACCGTTTATTCATTTCAGAAAATATCATAGGTTTTACACCAAGGCCGTTTCTTTTTGAACTGAGTGTTTGCTGAGAGGGTATGCAAAATTAAAAAAAAAGTGTTACTACTTCTTGTGTTATATTTTTGTATTTATCATTTAAAAAATTTAATGCTCTTGTTCTTCATCCATGGCCAATACTCAAATTTGTTTCATACAAAATGTACTTTTTTTACGTAATATAACAATTTTTCCTTACCTTCTTGCAAAGGAACAATAAGTTTTAAATCATTTCCCACATTCACTACATCGTATTTGGCCAAACGTCGATATGACAACGCTGTTTTCTTAGCTTGTCGTTTTGATTCTTTCACTTGATTAAAAATTAAATCATATTTTTCACGAGATAACTAAGCACTAATTCTCGTAAAACAGTCTTTAAATTCGTTGAACATATTGAATACTTAAATTTTCACTTTCAAATAACAATACTTTTTGCACGAATGCCACTTGATTACGCATCAAAACAATGTAAACTTTAACAAGACGCTTGTGTTAATGTCGAGATTAGCCGGTTAATGTCCGATTGAAGGCTGAAGATCGATTATCTTCGGATATTAACCAATTAGACTGGTGAATCTTGATATTAACTGGGTAATATTGAGATTAACCTGATTCGGACATTAACCGTAACATATATGCTTAGGTATAAGAAACGTTTTATATAAAAAAAGCCAAAGAAAAATCACCTGTACGCCCTCAAGGATTTGTAATCAGCTATCTCCTATAGCTTTTAGGACCTTCAAAAACCTGTATCAAGAGTTTTACTTGAAATGAACGATTTTTCACATACAGATTGGGGTAATTACTTACGATCTTGTTTATGGATTTTTATCTCTTTTTAATGTGTAATGTGTATGTATTTTTACATACAATAAAGTAAATACGTAAATTGGTTAATAAATTTAATAAGGCAATTTGTTGAAACAATCCTTGAAAACAATTTTCTTCAAAAACCAATATTTTTGTATTATCGTTGATATTATTTAAATGATTCCCCATTTCCCATTTGAAATTTTGTTGTTATCTCGATAGAATGAAATTACGAAAGTATCGTATTAAAAAAGATTCTTCAAAACATGTACATCGTACATCATGACTTGCTATTACAAAGAACTGTTTTGTAATTAGTCTGGAACATCTGTTATTTTCATAAGTTATCTTCTTTCTGTTGACTAATTCGATAAGATCTTATTTATTCTGATAAGTTTTTCTTTGTTGCAGAAATAGCAAAAGTACGGGCCAGTTTATTTCAAATAAATGGAGTAAAGAAAGAGCCACTTGTATTACCAGATCCCGATGGACCAGTTACGACACTTACAGAGAAAGTATATGTACCAGTAAAAGAGCATCCAGATGTAAGTATTTTTATACAAATATTAATTTTATATGCCAAATTCTCATTTTTTTTTCAGCATTTTTATAATAATCCTCCAGAATAGAAATGAATTTATAGCACATAAAAAGGATGCATAAGATTTTAAAAACTATCGACCAATAAATACGGCTTGATTCTTGTTTTTCTTTATGCCAGGGTACCTAGACTTGTATCTGCGATCTACCACAACATATTTGGAAGACAAGCGATGCACCACCGACTTCTACAACTACGCTGGAACTTAGACATTGTTATACTTATTAAAATCACTTTTATTAGAGAGAAACAAATAATATTACAATAAATTGATAACAACTTTAACTGAATGAGAGAACTGTTCAAAAACTGTTTAATTACTACTGTTACTGGAACTGTCAACTTCCTGTATTTATATACATTTTCTGACGTTCCAGACCTTACGAGACATTTTTGAATTTTTGATGACATCTCAAGCATTCTAGATTTCTTGACTTAAAAATCATCCAATAAATGGCAAAAAGTTGGGAGTGGAGTAAAACTGCCTCACAAACAGGAATACGGGGGACAGTAATAAAAACATGGTGAGGTATCTCCCCAGTGGGAAGACGGTCAGTGAAACAACTACAAAAATGATGATAATAAACTATAACAGGCACATTCTACAATACACAAGAAAGGAAGAAATTACTATAATAATGGGTGATTTAAATGCAAAGTTAGAAAAGGACTAGTCGACAACATTTTTCCACAAGTTCTATGGGCGACTTTTCGATTTCTATTAGCTCATTGGGGACGAGATTGGTCATCATTTTTGTTTTTGCATAGTTTATTAATTAAACCGACTTTCTAGGTTACTTGCTGTAGTTGTTGTGCATAACTCTGGCTTCTTCTAAGTTGTCTGTTGAGATTGAGATGAGAACAATATCATCGGCATATCTGAGATGATTGAATATCTTTCCATCGATGCTAATACCTTTGATTCCCACTCTAACCGTTTAAATGCGTACTCCATAACTGCTATAAATAGTTTTGGCGACAAGGTATCTCCCTGCCGCACCCCTCTGCCAATTTTTATCTTCTTAGTCATGCATTGGAGCTTAACGGTTGTTGTCACATTTTCGTATATATTTCGAATAATATTTGCATACCTGTGATCTATTCTGCATTCTGATAGTGCTTTTAAGATAGCAACTGTTTCGACTATGTCAAATGGTTTGTGGAAGTCGATAAAAATAAGAGCAAGGGGTCTGTTATATTCGATAGACTTTTCAACTAGAGTTCTAAGGCATTGCAAATGGTCGTTTGTTCCGTGCCCTGCTCGAAAACCTGCCTGTTCTTCTGATTGATAGAAATCGAGTTTTGCTTCTAATCTGTTTGTCAGTATTCGAGTAAAGAGCTTGTATAAGTGGTTAAGCAAACTAATTGGCCTATAGTTTTCGAGATCTGATTTATCCCCTTTTTTGTGGAGGAGGATTTGCAGCTGGTTTATGAAGGATAAAATCGAAGGAAAAAGTGGTCCTGGAAAGGGGGAAATTCGCGACTGGACCGGGTTAAACAGACGCTCTTAAGAATTTGTAATGGTTATAGCCAACCTTCATTAGTGGAGACGGCATTAGAAGAAGGAAAAGAAGAGACACATTTAAAAATATAGAAACAATATACCTGTATGAAGAAAGAAGAAGGTTGAAGTTGTAGTATCTCTAATATTATAAGCCATATGCACTTCTTAGCATTAAATGAAGAGTTAAATGAAGTCGTAAAGCCAATTTGTATATTTATGTTCCTGATTTTTATCGTTTTGTTTGCCGTTTCTCCGAATCAGTTAAGCGTTACACCCGGAAGATCGCCCAACCGCTAGCCTATAAGCGTTATCTTTGTAAAGCAGTATTAATATTCAATCTACATACGCTATAGACAAACGCTGACAACATTATAGATACTGAGAATCATCGGCAATAATTATGTGCAGATGTTGTCAATTACTGTAATTATATAGCAAATGGGCGACACGAGAACATTTGCAACGCCTTCTGAACATTTCTATGCAATAAAAATTTAGCATCATATCAATAATTATTTAATAAAATATGTTTTTAAATAACAATAAAATAAGAAATTAATACCATATATTGTTCATAAACGATGCTAAACGAAGTGCATCGAATCCGCTACAAAGTAGCTTTTTTTTGTAAAAAAAAGCTGCTTTCTTTGTTATGTCGTTAGGTAAAAGACTTCGATCGCGTGAAGCTATAGTTCGCGATCGCGATAGATTTAGCACATCAATTTAGATGCTAAAGATCTCTGAATAATCACAAATTAATGTTTGAGACGCATAGAGCCAATACTATAGTCCATCAGTTTATTGAAGAGGATGATTCATCAGTAAGACTTGATTTAAAACTGCCTACTTTTGGAATGGAGATTTTAAAAGTGCTTATGACAGTGTAGACAGAAGCGCACTTTATAATACTGTCGCTAGTAAAGAATTAGCATTTTTTTTTAATTTATAAAGGTATTTTATCAGAAATTAGAGTTTTTTGCCTTAGTGCCCACAACTTGTGAACTGTTCTTGACAAGTGCACTCCCACTCGAATGTGATTTATTTATAGGCCGAAAACGTTCACAATTTCATTAAATATAATAGGTACCATTAAAAACATATTGAAACCACTCCTCGACTATTATGACTTTCATAACCAACGATGTCGTACCGAAAAAAGTTCCCATAATCTAATTGCTTCTTTTTTGTTTCAGTTCAACTTCGTAGGGAGGATTCTAGGGCCACGAGGCATGACAGCCAAACAACTAGAACAAGAAACTGGCTGCAAAATAATGGTCAGAGGGAAGGGCTCGATGAGGGACAAAAAGAAGGTGTGTATTGTTATATAGTCCAAGACTGAATGTTAAAATGAATCTATTGTTGTCGTATAATTGATGGTTCTAAAGATGATTGTCTCTTAAAAAGAAAGAATACCTTTTTGGGTCAGAGAAGTAGTTATATTTTATTGGTTTTGTTGTTAATACATGCAATAATTAAATATTGTTCAGTTTTTCATCATAAAGCTTTAGATGTTTTCATGGTTTTTCTAGTGCAACGCTGAAAATGCAGCAAATATTGTAGATAATAACAAAGAATGTCAAGAATATAATTGAGAAGAAATAGGGAAGTGAGAACTTCTATAAAAGCAGAAATAAAAACAGTAATGGACCCACTTGAAAAATAGTCTTTGGAGGGGAACAACTTACAGCATTAATTCAGAATTAGGTTATTAATTCTTCTATTCAGAGAGGCCGAAAAAAACTCCAGATTGGAAATCAAAACTTCAAAGGAACTACAAAATTTAATTCTCGTTACAATCAATTGAGGCGTGATCCCACAAATATCTATATAACTTAAATTATAGAAATGTCGCCAACTTAATATTAGACATTATTTTGCCTCAACAACAAATTAAAGTTTACTTCAATTTCTTTAAATATCAAAAAAAAAACTGTTATCTCTTCTTATCTAGTTCACCTTTCAATAATTCTATATCAATGTTGTGCCTCCATCAAGAAGCCTCTTAAATTTATCGAATACCTTCAGTATTGTTTAAATTAATGGAATCATTGTGACACGGTCCACACATTTACAACTGACCAAGCTTAACATATTAACTTATGAACTACATCTTTTTCTTATGGTGCCCTATCCAATTGGTGCATGTAGGCAACAATTCTGGCATACTCCTCTCGATCTTGTATGGCTCTAAAGAGTGCATGGGCCTCGAGGTTTGCCTTATGTTTTTAAGCCATGAGTATTTCTTTCTTCCGATGCCCCGTTTTCCTTTTTTTTCCCTTCCATAATAAGCTTTAAGAACTGATACTTGGAATTTCGAAATATATGACCCAGGTAGCAGTTTTTCTTCTTTTTATTATCTAAGCGATATCGAAGCGTTAAGTTAAGGCTGTTGTTGCTTACCAAGGTTCTCATATTAGTAAATGCAGTTCTGGCTTGCTCAATACTGTTACATATCTCTATGTCTGGATCTAGATCTTCAGTTATCCAACTACCGATATATCTGAACTTGGGGACCTTTTGGATGTTCTTATTGTTTACTCTTATATTACAACATAACCTTACTTTTCTCACTAAGTTTGTGTTGTTTTGTACTATTTTGTGTTGTTTTCGGTAAATAGTGAGCTGGTTCGTTTAATTCCATCTTGGATGTTACGCCTAGGAAGCGCGAAAAGATTATCACGGTAAGTGAATACACTTTTATGTACAAAGAGAAATCGTAAGAACGTGTGGAGTGAGTCAGGGGGTAGTAAAAAAGATTGTGAAGAGTAAAGGAGAAAATGGATCATTAGATGTGAAAAGGTTGTGAAAAACAGCAAATTGGACCCAAGAAAAACAAGCCAATAACTCCAACAAGATCTAGCAGTATCAGGTGTAGTGATTCATGACTCAACTGTTCGGAAAAGGCTTTTGGAGAATGAAAAACAGCTTCTAACTAACCGAATGAAGAAACAAAGGCTATTGGGGGCCAAAAAAATACTCTAATTGGACTGTAGACGACCGGAGATGAGTCCTATTTATAGACAAAACTCACTTTATAGTTCAGGGACAGCGGTCGAAATTCATTAGTAAGTCTGACAATGAAAATTTTATTAACATACAACTAGAGCCCATACAGAGACATCGTCTCAGGTTCAGCAACCTCCCAAAATTGGAAGTCTTACTTTACTTTAACATCACACCAAATTTTTAACAAAAATGTAATAAACAACAAATGTTGTACCCTTTTGAGGGTTTTTATCCAAATATTTAGTAGCTTGATTTTTTTTTAAAGGCTTTTTTTAATTATATACCTTTTATAAAGAATTTTTAAATAACTTTTGTGATTTATGGTGTACAGCCAACTACACGAATTTTATTTTCCTTGTGGGTATTTCATTGCTTCTGTAACAATCGTATATTGTGGTTTTCAATAGTTTTATAAGTCAAGCACCTATCATCATCATCATTATCAATATGTATGCTTCCACTGGACATAGGTCTCCCTCAGCTCTTTCCATCGGTCTATGTCCTGGGCGGCTTGCATTCAGTTATTGCTAACACGCTTCAAGTCGTCAGTCCATTTAGTTGGTGGGCGTGCTCTGCTATGTATTGCTTTTTTCTTTGTCTCCACTCTAAAATACGTTTTGTATTTGATGTTGTTGTTGTTTTGTTGTTTGATGATCTGGTGACATGTTCTGCCCAATTCCATTTTAACGACACGAATTTTTCGATGGCGTCTATTGTTTTTATTCTCAGATATATTTCTTCGTTTGGGAGTCGGTTTCTTAGAGAGACACCCAACATCTGGCGCTCCATAGCCCTCTGAGTCACACGAATCTTATTAACTACCTTTTTTGTGAGTGGTAATGTTTCCGCTCCATAAGTGAGACAAGTAACACACATTGATCAAGCACCTATAGACCTTGTAAATTCGTATTTACATCGCTTCTTGCGATGTTATGGTTCATTTTTAACTATTTTGTATACAGTTGAAAGTGGAATTTCTGTTAAATCAGAAGTTGCTTATACCAACAGGTTTTCATCGAAGCCGAATTTCTTTTGTAGATTTGTGTACACATTGAAACATCGTAGCTGTGTTTCAGCATTTAAATGCATTTGAATCTTCTTTACGGGTACATTTTTTTTTAGGAAATATCCACTTTCTACAAAATCAGTGTTGTTATCGTACGTAATATTTTCAACGACATTGTCCCACGGACCACATCAGGTCACTATCTATCTATATATCTATCTAATCAGCCTTAAACGCCCACTCTTGGGCATAGGCCTCCCCTGTTAATCTCCATTGGTCTCTATTTTGGGCGATCTGCATCCAGTCCTTTCCTGCCGTTCTCTTAAGATCGTCAGTCCATCTCATCTGTGGTCTTCCTCTTTTTCTTTTCTTTTCCCATGGTCTCCAGTGTAGAATTCGCTTATTCCATCTTTCATTTTTTTGCCGGAGAGTGTGACCGGCGAAGTTCCATTTAAGTTTTGGAACCTGTCTTGATACATCGTTCACCTTTGTTTTTTCTCTGATCCATGAGTTTCTTTTCCTGCTTTTAAGACCGATACCCAGCATCTGTCTTTCCATTGCTCTTTGTGTTTTGGATATCCTGTTGATGTTCTCCTTTGTGAAAGTCCATGTTTGTGAGCCATATGTGATAACTGGTAAAATGCACTGGTTGAATACTTTCGTTCGCATATATTGAGGGAACTTTTTATTTTTTAGAATATATGATAGTTTACCAAATGAGGCCCCATGTTAGTCTAGTTCTTCTTTTTATTTCTTCTATTTGATTGTCCCTGTTCAGCTTTATTATCTGTCCTAGGTATATGTATTCTGCCACCTGCTCTAATTTATTCTGTTTGACTACTATTTCTAACTTTTCTTCTTGGTTTGTCATAGTCTTGGTTTTACCATAGTTCATCTCTAGACCTACCTCTGTCGCTTTTCTATCTAGTTCCTCAACCATCTTCTGTAACTCTTCCTTCTTATCTGTTATCAGGACTATATCGTCTGCATATGTCAAGTGGTTCAAGAGCTCTTTATTCTTATTCCGTATGTATCCCATTCTAATTTTTTAAATATGTCTTCCATAGCCTGATTGAACAATTTTGGTGATATTGTGTCTCCCTGCCTGATTCCTCTTTCGAATTTGATTGGTTCTGTAGCGTGTTCGTTCGTCAGTTTTATTGTGGTACTCGCATTTTTGTATATGTTTGTTATTAGGTCCGTGTACCTGTAATCAATTCTGCCGTTCTGTAGTGAGTTTTTGATGGCCCAATGTTCTATGCTGTCAAACGCCTTTCGTAAGTCTATGAATGTCATGTATAATGAGATTTGATACTCGTTCGACTTTTCAATCAGTATTTTTACTGTTAGCAGATGGTCGCTAGTACTAAAACCCTTTCTGAATCCACCTTGTTCTCTTGCTTGGTATCAGATGACTATTCAAAATAATTAAAATTCAGCAAAAAACATCCTACTGCACTATACTAAACAAACTGCTTCTCAACTAAAATGCTTGCCACAGGTTTCCGGTCAGTTGTAAAAAAGATAAGGTAAGATGGGATCAAATTTCGCCGCATTTAAAGCGTTCTATTTTTATTCCTATTGGGTCCTCCAGAAGACCCAGAGCTTTCGTCTTTTTTGTCCATATATTCATATTGTAATTTTTACAAACTATAGTTGTAGACTCGCTGTAGCTGATTTCAGAATTTTTCTTTAAGTTTTTGTTGTGTTTAATTTAGACAAGCTGTATATTATACTAACTAAAGTTCATTTAAAAAAATGCGACGAGGTATATACAAGTGCGATGTGGATATATGTACAGTGTGTTGTAGTAGATCTTCACGACCTCACATGCATATCTAATGAAGTGTATCGTCTTTTGTTTCGGTTGTCACGATTTTTATGGGTATTGGTTTGATAGGTCAGGGACCGGGCGCAAGCCGTTTTATTTTCTTTTATTTATTAGGGTCGCTGAAATTCAATTCGACAGTTCAATTACAGTGGGTTTTATTTTTAGAATATAGCGATGATGGCGTCTTGAATACGTCCAAACTTGTGATGAATTAAATTTGAAAATACAGGGAGCTTGCAATGAAAACGCATAGAAGTTTGGGTACCATCTTCTGCGAAGTAGTTCATCTGCGAAAAACAAATTTAGCAAGAAATTTTTTTCTTGATTCCAGAAAGTTGATGAACATCATCCTAAATTTAAAATGGGATAATTGCCGCAAATATGGCTGTATACCATATAGTTAAAAAAACTGAGCATCGAAATAAAACACTCTAAATCCGAAACTAGAATCCAAGATTTCTAATTGA